TGTATGCTTATTTAACTGTCAATGGTATGATCTAGTATAGAATAGAGGCACAAGGGTTCATCCTACGTATGATTTAGTAGATATAAAACATAGTAGAAGATACGTAAAGTTTGATCCACTTGTGTTAGCAAGTTAAGCTATTCAAGTTTATTTCAGCAAATATCTCAATGGTCGTAGAGACAAACAAGATTGGCTAGCTGTCATAAAAACAAAATCATGGGATATTAATGAAAATAGTTTTGATAATTCTGATTAATTTTTATAATTTAGAATTGTAGAATTTTATTGTTTTGTAATATTTTAAATAGCACTTATTGAATTATAAGAAATGAAATTATTATTTTCCAACTTGTATTTATTAACTGCTTTATTAACTACTTTTTTAATTCATTAACTGGTTCTTGTAATTCATTACCTTCTTTATTAATTGTTTATAATGCTTTAGTAATTATTGTTTTTTTTAATATTACAGATGGCTTCAGGCGACGATCCTCCTCGTAAATCATTTGCCTCAAAGTTCCACCGGAAGAAGATTATTGCTAGCAGACCCACACAGCCTGAGGTAGGTGAGTGGCCTTCAGTTCCACCAGATCTACCTACACCACCACCACCACCACTTGCCAGGAGCCAGCAGCATTCCCCAGAGCAGGGTCAGGGTCAGTCAGATCCACCTGCTGTTGTACCTCCATACTTCCCTGGCCACTTCCCTCCTCCCTCGACGAGTCCTCACTACCCCTCTCCAGATCAGACACATGCCTCTCCAATTTATTCATATTACCCTCCACCATCATCACAGGTAGCAGGTCAATCCACTGGTCCACGTCCTCCTTACCCTTACCCATATTACTACCCCTATCCAGTGCAGCATGAATAGGGTGGACCATCAAGACCACCAGAGGTTGGCACTAGCAATCATGCAGTTGCAACAGATAAGCATCAATACATTGAGCCTGAGGGTGATAAGTAAGTTCAATTTAAGTTATTAAGTTGTTTTTATTTTGATATATAACATGTTATTGACAAATAAAGTTACCTGCAGCTTCAATCCTTCAAGGCCAACCTATACATATGATCCGAGATATAATAAAGAATAAATATGATGCTCCTTACTTATCCTGGAAGAAGATCCCGAAGCCAGTTAGAGATATGTGGTTTGGAGAATTTTATGTATACATTTTTTGGTATGATTTCGAATATGTGATTTAATTTGTACTAATCTTTTTATTATTGCCTAAATATTTACATAAAGAATTTAGGTAAAGAATTTAGGTGGTTGCCTGAGCACAGCACGAGGATCAGAATAAATTTTGAGAGGAGATGAGAGAACCATCTCAGAGACATGTTCACGGACATTAGAAAGTTCAGGCAGCGTCCTAATTAAATTGGAGAGGGCGTTTGGGTTGATTTGAGTAGTGCTTGGGCGACCCTGAGTTTGTAAAAATGAGAGAGCAGAATAAACAGAACAGAGCCTGTGACTATGGAGGTTTAGGAAGCTCTCTTCATACTGGTGGATCGGTACCTCATACAGAACATAGGTGGCGGCTGGTAAGAGTTTTAAATTAGTTGATTAAGTATATTTATGTTATTATAATTATTTCTTAAATTTTCAGAAAGAGTACCTTGGTCGAGAGCCAACACCACTGGAGTTGCATACAATAACTCATCAACATCAAGCTGATCATCAGTGGGTTAATGAAAAGGCTAAGAAGGCTCATGTGAGTACTTTTTTTGGAAATTTGTAATAAAAATTTATTTTAATAAAACTAATTGTAATATCAAATTACAATTTATTTTATGGCTGTATTCTCGCAGGATAATTTTGTACGAGCTCGAAAAAGCCTTCATTCTACTCGCGAGGGATCATCTTTAGGATCAGCCCACACTTTTGAGTATCATACTTGGTCTGATATTGTAGGTGGAAGATAGAAGGGCATGATATATAGCTTGGGTTCACAGGGCTATGCGTTTGAGGGCAGTTCATCCACCTCAGCATTTTATAATCCAAGTACGGGAGTTGAAGAAACTGTGAGTCAGAGGGTTGCAGCATTGACTAGAGAGATTGAAGAAATGAGAAGGGTTCAAAGTGAAATGCAAGCAGAGCTGCAATCCTACAGAGTTGAAAATCAGAGGAAGAAAGAAGAAGAGCAGCGACCAACATCTCGAGACAGCGAGGATACAAATGAGGAGTAGAACTTGTGACTTATGTTTTATTGTTGAATTTAGGAAATTCTGAACTTATCATTGGTAAACTTCTGAACTTAATATTTATGTAATGTTCAATATTGGTTATGCTTATGTATATTGTTGTGAATATAGCGGCGTGTTGCCTAAATCTGATTATATATTGTTTTCTTTGCAGGTTTTAGAATCTAGGGTAATCCTCCCTCAAATAGAGGGGAGGCTGTCAATTTTTTTTTGCAGGTGCTACAGGTTTCTGGAGGCTAACCGACGGTTTTGCCGCTGGAAATGACGATACCGGATGGCTTTTTAACAGCCGCCGGTAACTTGGTAAAACCGCCGGTAACATGCCGGCGGTTACCCGACGGCAGCTGGCGGGTGTCAGTTGAAAACCCGGCGGTCTAGACCGCCGTTACTACCGTCGGTCATGACCGCCGGTAACCGCCAGTGTATTACCGACGGTTAACCGACGCAACCCGGCTGTTAATTTTCCTCACGCCAGCCGCTGAAACCGTCGGTACGCCGTCATTGAAGGACCGCCGGTATTCCATCGGTACTTTGACTGGAGGTAAAGCGGCCGGAACACCGCTGGCACAAAACAGTAGAATATCTGGCGGTCTATGCCATCGGAACAGTACCGTCGGCTAATGGGGCCGCCGATAAATACCGCCAGTAAATAGTTTCCTACGCCAATTTTTCCGGTGGTTCATTACCCGCTGCAAAGCCGCCGGTATACACCAAAACCGCCAGTTTTTTCACCCAAACCGCCTGAAAAAACCGCCAGTTTTGAGCGTTTTTCCTGTAGTGTTGAAAAGCCATATAATCTAGAACCGCGTTTGACTAAATATTTTCTCATTTCATCCATGATTTATTTGGAAACATAGGATAAAGAGCTCACAGGAATAGAAGCTGACGGAATTTGAAAAGATTCCCAAGTTTAAGGCCAGGCCACTCAACAAGAAGGTCCATGTGTTGTCACACTGTTTACATGGATAAGTTTTTTTTTCTTTTTTTTTTTGTGCTAGTTTGGACTTCATTATTCCAACTTGTTGTCTCAAAGTATATCAAAATGCAAATTATTAAAAGTAAGGGAGATCTAAGATTACTTTGTAAATCCAAATCACCAATTACAACTGCACAAGAGTTCCATTTTACTACAAATGATAGGTTGGACCTTCCGCTTTCAACTATGATGATAAAGAACTTTGATAGGGTATGTATATATGATAAATTGGTTAGCTTTGTACATATTTAAAGTAAAAAAATGTCTGACGTAGTTTTCTCCCTTTTCTAGCTTTCACTTCATTCTGACTCTTCTAATCATACCCAACAAGGCATTCCCAAAATCACAAAGCCAAATCCTTTCCATCTCCATACAGAGGTTTGTTATGGTAAACATAGAGTTCAAATTCGAAGCAGCCAAAAATGGTCATTTGTACTTAAATTTAATTTTTCAAGAGAGAGGACTTAAGAAAGAGAAATTGTTTACAATTCAAATCTTACAAAAGCAATTGAAAGAAGAGAAATCTAGGATTCCCAAGGCAAATCATTATCCTTATGCTAAGATTATCCTATTGTAAGAGAGAATTTCTTCTTTCCATTCATTTTGGAAATTAGTTAGTCGTTTGTATTTTAC